AAAATACGGTGAGCGTGTTTCACCACAGCTAGCTCGGAAAAGGAATTAGCGTATTGGAAAAAATTTCATACCGATGCAATTATTAAATCACTACCAATAAGAGGGTTGCCATTTCGAGGAAATTCAGGACGAATAGGAGATCCCCATAATGGGAATTTTTAGGAACAGTAGAGCTTATTGCTGAATTTGATCCATTTTTATCTGAACATTTAAAATTGTTTGCGCGCCCTGGTAGTAAAAATACGGGGTATTTGTTTAAAGCAATATATGAAGAAATTATATTTCTGCTAAGTATTTTGGTATAATTGTAGATTGTACGCCTGATATTACACATGTCGATCAGCTTACTATAATTATCAGATATGTACGTAATAACGGTGAAATTGTTAAACGGTTTTAGAATTTCTACCAAATATTGGCCATAACGCTAAATATATTGAGGATACTTTGTAAAAATCTGTAGAAAATAATGGTTTGGACATAATGAATTGTCGTGGCCAATCTTATGATAATGCAAGCAAGCAATCATATATTCCAGCCTTCAGACACGAATCTAAACAAAGAATCCTTTAGCCCATTCTTTAAATTTGGTTGGATCATGTGCAGTTGAATCGGTAACAGAAGCAGTCAACTTCTTTTCTACTTTGCAAGAGCTATACAATTTCTTTACTATATCTATACATCGTTGCGATATTTTGGTACAGCGTACAAATTTTAGAATTAAGAGTCTTTCTCAAACTCGGGGGTCTGCTCGACATAATGCATGTTACACATTAGAAAAACAGTGGTCTGCAATAATTGATGCACTGGAGTTTTTTGAGGAGAGCAGAGATGAGAAACCCACTACGCGATCTGAAGCTACGGGATTGCAGCGAAAATTACGGCAATTAGAAACAGCAATCCTAGTCACCGTTTGGAATGTAATATAAAATCGTTTCAAAACTGCTAGGAAGAAGCTTCAAGAATTTCAAGCTGGTTTATCATCCGTTGTTCAGATCTAAAGTTCTCTGGCTCTATTTTTTCAAGACATGAGAGACAGACAATTTTCTGAATATGAAGAAAAAGCCAAAGCACTATCTGTAGTTTACGATCGCTATGATAACCGTCGCAAAAAACCAAGAAAAATTCAGCCAGATGAGTCACGGGTAAATGAAAGGACATTATTTTCTGGACAAGAAAATTTTCACACAAATGTTTATTACCCTATTCTAGATACTTAGAGTGTACAACGTCCGATGTGTTTTACGTGAGTACCTGCCATCGACGGCCTTACCTCACGGTGCTCAAAAGCACAACGTATCAAAACAATGCGTTGATAAGCGCCCCAATTAATACGAGCTATTTGCAAGTATTAATTTGGTTACCAGTGGCCAGTGTGTAGGGACAGACTGACCATCTTGGTAGGATTCGAGGCCGACCAAAAACCTCTTCCGTTTTCGGGTACGGAACCCAGTTGCGTGTGCAACTTCTTTTTTCGAACTGAAAATTCAGTTCTTCCAGCATTTAGGTTTAAACCACAGCCAAAACGATACTCCCCAAAGGGCCAAACCCAATGAGCAGATGAACCGAAGTCCAAGGGCATTCTGCTCCCCGTAGTATCAAAGTTGAGTCTCCGGTAAGACTGTGTAGCCGAAGCTACTGCCAGTTGAGCTCCGCCTTACTCAGTGACTGGTGACATGTGTCGCTTGAACTTCAAATGTGGTTTTATTTGGAATCTCATTTAAAGTCTATAATATCAGTTCAAGCTGAGTATTATAGCACTATTTCTGACATCATTTACTATGCTGATATTTCTGGGCAAAATAAAATAACAGTCATAGTGCATTTGGCTTTTAGTCGCCTTTTACGACAGGCATGCCTTACCGCGGGTAAATTCTTACCCCTACCCGCAGTGGGAACTTAAAGTGTACAACTTTCGTTGTAGATTTACGTGAGTACCTGCCGGCGACGGCCTTACCTCACGGTGTTCAAAAACACAAGGTATCAATACAATGCGTTGATAAGCGCCCCAAACAATACGAGCTTTTTGCAAGTATTTATTTGGATACCAGTGGCAGTGTGTCTGGGTCCACACTACCATCTTGGTGTGATTCGAGGCCGACTAAAACCTCTTCCGTTTTCGGTACGGCACCCAGTTGCTTGTGCAACTTTTTCGAACTGAAAATTCAGCTTCCAGCATTTAGGTTTAAACCACAGCCACCACGATACTCCCAAAGGGCGAACCAATGAGCAGATTGAACAGAAGCCAAGGGCTTTCTGCCCGTGGTACCGGAAAGTCTCCGGTCAGACTGCGTAGCCTAAACTACTGCCAGTTGAGCTACCCATTACTCAAATGACTGGTGACATTTGTCGCTTGAACTTCAAATGTGTTTTTGTTCGCTTTTTCATTTAAAGTGTTTATAATATCAGTTCAAGCTGAGTATTATAGCACTATTCCTCAACATACTATGCTGATATTACTGTGCAAAGTATATAATAACAGTCATAGTGCATATTGGCTTTTAGTCGCCTTTTACGACAGGCATGCCTTGCCGCGGGCATATTCTATCCCCTGCCCGCAGGGGTACTTAAAGTGTACAATTGGCCGGGCGTAAAAGTGTATATAAAAAACTTTACGAAAATTTAAATTTTTTGAAGATATATACAAACGAATTTCAAAATCATGCCAACAAACTAGTCAGTAAGTATCTTGACGATTTGGAAGAGACGTTAGGCAATGAATATATTCATTATAAAGATGCCTTAGCAAATACGGAAGATGTACGCTCTGCACAAAAAATATGTAATGTATTGCATTCACGGAGTTTTCGAGATGTTTATTCAAATGTAGACATTGCTCTCCGCATTTTTTTTTCTATTCCGGCGGCAAATGGTTTGTATATGGTTTGCAAATGGTGGTATTGAAGCTCAACTAGTCCAAGAAATTAATTATGACGATATTATCGACGTTTTCGCGCGGACCAAAGCCAGGAAATGTTTAAAAATTTGTTTTATTTAAAAAATTATATTTCGGTAAATAAAGTTATTTTAACATACAAATATTGGATCGAAATTAATAAAATTAATTTTATCTAAAAGTACGGAGCATCGAATGCCAGATTATTTTTTTAACGAAATTTTTTTGTGCAATTAACCGGGGGAAAATAAAGGTATATTTTTTTCTTCTAAACCCGGGTTCAATTAAGCGGGAAAATTTACACGTATTTTGTATGCAATATATTTTTGACCGATCAATTGGTTCAAATAAGTGTGAAAATTAACTAATCGGGTCAATTAAGAGGTGGATGCTGTGGTATTAAATGAACATGTACTTATAATAATAATAATAATAACCCAACGATTACTCTTCTCCCGCCAACCAACGGGCGCAATCCGCATACGTGCAAAATTAGCCGAGTCAGAAAAGGCAAGAGAGTTTTTTAAGTGTTAAGATCCAAAACTGCTCAGCTACAGAAATAAAAATTTCAAAGATAAGGTTTATAGTTACGATATAATAAATTGTTAAATTTGTATGTATTAAGAGAAAGCAATAAAGACTTTTGAATTTTGAAGAGTGAGTCAGATAAGTCTAATGTGCTGGAAGGAGAATTAAAATCATGACATATACGGCGGAATGATTCATTTAGTTCGAAATTTGATCTACAGGATTTTAACAGTAAAGGTCTAAACTGCCTCGAAAAGCAAACCGGGATTTTCAATTTTATTTGAAGAGAAAGGAACTGCAGACTGTTCCATTCAAGATTTTCAGTAAGAATATTATACCAAGCATTACCCTACGACTAGAAAGTGTAGGTAGATTTATAAGTTTTAAACGACCAGTGTGTGGAGGTAGACTTACCCTAGAATCCCATCGGAAATTTCATAGGGCGAAAAGTTAAAATTGTTTTGAACATACTCTAACTTGTCAAAATGGAATTAGTAGCTATCGTTCCATACAACAGAGCCATATTCCAATATAGGTCTAACCAAAGTTCTAAAAAGTGTTTTAGTAATATACGGATTTCTAAATTATTGAGACCTACGTTTAACAAAACTAAGGACAGCTTTTGCTTTCAAGACCATGGCTCCATATTGACTCCCAAATCAACATAATTAAAAACTTTCTCTAGACTATGGTGTTTTATTACATAAGTAGAGGGGAGCACAGATCTACGGGAAAAGCACATCGTCTTACATTTATTGAGATTCAATGGCAAATCATTTCAATCACACCATGCAAACAAATTATTTAAGACACCTTTCCTCAGTTGAAGTGTATGATTTAAAAAGCGTAACGTTGTCGGCGTATAATAAATTTTTTAAGAATTCTAGAAGAAGTAGAATTCAGAAGAGATATCGTTAATAAACAACAAGAACAGAATCGGGCCAAGATAACTACCTTGCGAAACACCCGAAGAGACATTAATTGTATTTGAAAGAGTATCCTTAAATATCACTCGTTGTGTTCCATTTAAGAAATCTTGGCTGAAAGCCCAGCAGATCAAGCTTATGTATGAGAGTCGAGAGATTTATTTTATTGAATTATTATTTATATATATTGAAAGCTTTCTAAAGTCTGTGCATATAACATCCGTATGCTTATGTTCCTTAAAACTGAATTATACATGGTTTACAAATTCAAGCAAGTTTGTTAAAGTCGATTTCCTTTTACGAAATCCATGCTGAGATGAGGAAATTAACGGAGAAATCGAAAAAGTTATATGGTCTGCGATGATAGCTTAAAAAAGTTTTGCGATACCTCTATAGTTTTCAATGTTGGACCTAAATCGACTTTTATGCAAAGGGAATATAAAATCTACTGTTTCCATATTGAAGGAGAGGAATTAAATATCCTTGTCAACGGCAAGTAAATATATTTGCCACTATTTTTTAGGAAGCATGAGAGCATCATGTCTGAGCCGTAACTAAATGATGGTTTTAACTTATTTAAATTAAGTAGGACGTCTTCTTTTGAAATCCTACTTTTTGAGTTATTGAAATCGTAAAACGATTTTAGATTAATTACAATATTCTTTTCTACTTTATTTAAGTAATTATTATAACATTTTTTGTTTAGGTCGAGTTTTTCTGTTTTTTCAATTTATATAACTCTTTCGAAAACCACGGCCTTATATTTAAACTTTTAATAACAATTACTATTGAAACATACTTTCCGAATAATTTCGTAATAATGTTATTAAAATACGAGACACTAAATTCAATATCACCATTAACTTTTTAAGATTATCTTTTGCAAAGTTAAACCGAGCGCAGAAGCTAGAAGTTTGATGTTTACTATCCCATACATTGCCTTTGATTTCGACAGATACTTCCAAAGCAGAATGATACGAGTCCTCTGGTAAAACAAGAGGATTACTCTGAATAACGGACCACTTTGAAGAGGTATCAACGTATTCAAAATCTAAGCATTTACCAAACTTATTCGGAATCAAATTAATTTGGTTCAGACCCAACTCGGACATTTAAAAAAAAAAAACTCATTAAAACATGACCGATTGCGAATCGGTACGATATAGTCATCGAATGCTTTCCACGAAGCACACGGTAAATTGAAATCTCCTAAAACGATTATTGAATCTGCATTATTTGCCTTCGAGGTAGCACTATTTATAAAGAAGCATGCTGCATGTATACAGATAAGTCCGAATGGGGTGGTATATAAGGTAGGGTTGGATGAATAAAGCAATTATTAACGTAGACTCTAATATATTAAAGTTCAAATGAGTCGATTCCTGGAACGAGAACATCTTCAGATTGGATAGAGGAATGCACGTCAAATAGAACACCTCCTCCAATTCTGTTCAGTCAATCACATCTAAATATTTGTAATTATTTGGAAATTAAAATTGGACCTGTTTTAATACAAGTCGGTTAATTTTGTATTAAGACCTCTAACATTTTGATAGTAAATGCTTAGCGCATTTCTACCAGTCAGTTTTCTATATCGCTGGTTGCTTTTGGCAATTTAACAATGTTTTCCTCAGATATGAGTTTAGGCTTAAATTCGCACACAAAAGCCCCGAGGGACAGAATGAGCTATCTAAGATCTTTTTGAAGTTTTCAAAAGAAACGTCTATTTTAAACGATGATATACTTCTATCATAACCGAAGTTAAATTTTTGGATATTGATATCACCAATTTTTAAACGCGACGAAATGTAGGACTAATTTTCTTCCACCGAGGTATCCTTGGCAAGACTAGAAATAAATATAGAAAGATATATAGAATAACCACCAAATTTTTAACAGATGCTACTAAGTTAATAGGGAGAGAATCTGGAATTGTGAGACACTTACTACTATTATATAGAGCTTTAGGGGAATTAAGCTCTTTGGAAGTTGACGGCTTATCACTTTGAGGGCAAGGAGGAAAGAGATTTATAAGGTGAATTGGAGGAGACGTACTCTTCTGCACAAAAAAACTAAGCATTACTTCATCGGAAGGACGTTAACGCTTAGGAGCTGGTTTGGAGGATTCGTGAGAATCATTCAGGCACTTAAAATATTTGAACAGTTTGTAGTGCCTAAATTTTTGGTGAGAGTTTCAAGATCTCGTCCGATTTCATTAAACCCATTGCGTGTCTGCTTATATACTTTAAACAGGACCAACACAATCCTTTACAGTCGAGAATAGAATCTAAGATGCTATCTGTTTGTCCAGCACTTTAATATGGCAAGCCCATCACAAAGCCAGCATGAAACGAAGCGATCTGAAGAAGATTAAAAGAATATCAAATAAAAATGTAAGTGAAACAAAATTTAATTGATAAGTATATAATAAATTAGTGTGTTAATAAAATATTAATAATAATAAATACAACTAAAAACAATCGCAAAAATAATAACAATTTTTTTTATCAAAGTTCTAAACCAATACAGTTTGAGCAAGCAACAATATAGCAAGTAGTTGTAGATACAATGGAACAAATAAAAAACTACACGCAACACAGCTGTGAATAGAGAAGTAGGTAAGATAAGTAAAGAGATAAAATAAAATAAAACAAAGCAAAAAATAAAACTAAATCTGACTCGGCACCAAAATTCGAATATTTAAGCTTTAATATAATGCACAAGACTTAAGAGCACTTATACTGAACTCGCAATTCAAAATCACTAAATAAATATCAAATAATATTATTTATATTGAAGATTTTCGTAAAATTACAACCCTGCAAACTCTTCTTGTACTCTCTTTCTTTTCATCATTCATACATTGTAATGCTTTTGTACACATTTGAATAAAGTCAGTCGTTATTATGTCAAAAGACGAGAAAGTTCGAGAACATCTCAACACATTCTTCGTTGCAGTAGCGAAGCGAATTGTTGATGAGTTGCTAATCATTTTTTTGCTGTACAGTTTGCCAGCGTCGTACGAGACATTCAGGTGGGCAGTTGAAACGGGAGACGAATTGCCAAAGGCGGACGTATTTCATGGTAAAATTTTCGAAGAATATAAGTCGCGAAAATCGAAAGAGAATAAAGTAGAAAACAATAACGTGCTTTACATAAAGAAAAATCAAAATCAACCGTTGATCGAAATTGGGCGAATTCAAAAAATGCTATCGGTGCGGAAAAGCGAGACATTTCGTGAGAAATTACAATAACAAACCGCAAAATCAAAAAACGCGTGTGAGTGACGAAACAAAAGAATATTACAAGTAAATACAGTGGAAGGCATTTGCAGCCCCTGTAGGAAATATGAGTTGGTGTTAGGACAGTGGTTGATTTTAAAGCCGCCTGCGATAGCACGAAAAGGAGCTGCTTTTATGCCGCTATATCTGAACTTAGCATCACTTTAAAACTAATACGGCTGTGTAAAGTGACGTTGAGCAACACCTAGAGCTCCGTTAGGATCGGGTGGGACCTCTCCGAGCCGCTCGATAACAAGCGAGGTTTTAGGCAAGGAGACTCCCAATCGCGTGACTTCTTCAATCTATTTCTGGAGAAAATAATACGAGCTGCAGAGCTAAATAGAGAAGGTACAATCTTCTATAAGAATGTACAGCTGCTGACGTACGTCGATGACTTTGATATCCTTGGCCTCACCAGTTCTGCTTTTTCTAGACTGTTGTTGACAGTCATAACACAGACAGTTTGAAGTCGTAGATAATTTCGTCTACCTTGGGATCAGTATTAACGCTTGATATCCAACGCAGAAACAGGCATAGACAAATGATAATCTGATGAGTCAGCGTTAGGAGTGTTCGAGATAAAGGTTTTGCGGAAAATTTATGGTCCTTTGAGTTTTGGCAATGGCATATACCGCAGACGATAGAACAATGATCTGTACGAGATATACCGCGACATTGACATACTGTGCGAATCAAGAGACAGCGGCTACGCTGGCTAGATCATGTTGCCCGGATGGATAAGAACACTCCAGCACTGAAAGTATTCGATTCAGTACCCGCTGGATAAAGCAGAAGAAAAGGAAGACCTCCACTCCATTAGAGAGATCAGGTGCAGAAGGACTTGGATGCACTTGGTATCTCGAATTGGCGCCAAATAGCGAAAAATAGAAACTGGCTATAACCGCGTAAGCGGTGCCTACCCCTGTAAAAAAGTTTGGACAGTGGCTGTACATCTTATATGAGTGCGAATACAAACATTTTTGAACGTGTCAAACAAATAAATGTAAAATTAAGTTTAGCAAAAAATTCTTCGACAAAAATAAGTGGTGTTGGTAAAGTGTGCACTACTGTAACGTTTGCAGAAACAAATAAATTGGACTAAAACGTTTTGGATGTGGCTGACTTGTGTACGCATTTGCTATCGGTTGCTAAAATTACAGACAGGGGTTACGCTGGAAAATTCAAAACGAATGGTATATTTGTATGAATATTTGGTACGAAAGTGTTTGTACTTAATAAAAATCCTACAAAAGATGGAATTTTTGGCGCACATGAGCAACAGAACTTGGCAAATAGTTGAAGGGCCTTTGAAACGTAAAGTAATTGGCAACAAGTTCGTGCTCCGTACTAAAGATGAGCATCTAAAGAAAGTTTGACTAGTAGCAAAGGGTTACGCTCAATGTCCAGGGGCGGACATTCATGAAGTTTCCTCTACAGTTGCACGATCAACTTCAGTACGACTTTTTACGGCGCTGAGTACAGAAAAGGATCTCCAGGTACATCTAATAGATGTATTCACCGCGTATATAAATGGGGATCTAGACGAAGATATCTATATGGATGTTCCAGCTTTGCTTATGAGCGTGTTGAAGAAAATTGAAAGTGTGGCAGGCATTACTTCAACGAGAAAATCCTGTGTGTTTAGTAAAATAAGCACTGTACGGTTTGCGTCAGTCAGGCATAATCTGGTATCATAAATTAACCCTCAACAAAATTAGATTAAAGACAACAAAATTCAATCCATGACCCTACGTGCGTGAAGAAGGTTTTTATGTTGGTCATTGTATACGTAGATGATTTGCTGTTAGAATCCAACAACAGCCATTGATTAAAAACAACAAAGAAGATCCTCTCGCAACATTTCAATATGAAGGATTTTGGACAAGTTAATCGTTGTTAGGATATAGATTTTCATCAGAATCTGGAAATGAACATGTACTTAAAATAGCATGTATCTGCCTCTTGCAACACTGCAAACTATTTTTGTACTCTTTTTCTTTTCATAATTCATGCATTGTAATGCTTTTGTACACATGTCAATAAAATCAGTCGTTATTATATCCTCGGACTTTTAGTTATAAAGTATCCAATGCCTAATAGGGGTTCTAAATGCACACGAAATTTAAAACCTATGGAAACCTGTTGATCGTGTTACGTAGTGGAGGCAAGTGAAATTGAAATTGTGAAATAATGCGGGTGTTGACATTTTGTAATACCTTGTGTAAAAACTCATGAAATGTAAAGAAAATGTAAGCTTTTAATTAGCAAGGAGCTGTAGGGGTAGGTAGACAGCTGGTGCGATGATGATCGACCTGGACGCCAATGTGTCGTGCTAAAAGATACGATCGTAAAAATCGGAAAATGACGATTATTGACCAACCGTTATTAATACGCGAATATAATCAATGGACGGGTGGCGTTGACTTATTCTACAAACAACTACAGAATTTAGGTAGGTGTAAAGAAATTGTACTGGCCGTTGCTTATAAATTAATTCGATGCAGCAATGGTAAATGCATGGTAACTAAGAGTTTTATGCGCAAAACATAATCCGATATTATCTATTTCTAAGGTACACTTACCATCACCAATATACCAACATATATGGAGTAAAGACAGCCGGATGTTCGAAAATCGTAATATTGGCTAACACAAGTTTCCACCCAATTTTATTCATCTTAAGCACAAAGATATATTGTTATTAGTAAAACACGTTCTCTCGTTTTCACCAAGATAACCGACGTATTGGGCGATATATGCGGTATAAATAAAACCGGAAGTTCGACAATCTTGGTATTAGGTATATGGCGACTAATCGGCCTTCATCCGATTCAAGCCATTTTTTACATACAGGCATACTGTTATCAGAAAAGGGTTTGCTCTGAATCTCAACAACATATCTCACAGACTAACCGAAATTTTCGATAAAATGTCGCTGTAAGATCTGGGGTCCACAGATACAGTATCTAGTGGCTTGAACAGTTGTAGCCCTATCATAAGGTGGCCTACTTTAAGCGCACTATTCGGGCAAAGTTTTATCTCGATACATATATTGGTACTTGGGTTGCATACTGGAATGAAAATCAGATGGAATTTAAAATTGTGTTATATAAGACGTAGACGTGACCGTCAGAATAATGTTATGTACATTTGGTTGGAATTAGTCGAGAAGGTCCGGAGATAGGTGATTCCACCTACATGTGGGCGATTCCACGCTCATAGTCCAGTATTAACCCCGGCTCCTATAAAGCTATCTTGTATCATCCTGGGTGTAAAATTCAATGTCTCTGGCGTATTTATGTATTGATTTATCGCGCTTTTAGTAGTTTTTAACAGAAATCCATCCATTTTTGCTGTGTCGGAAGGGTGCTTAAGGGATTTGCTTATTATATCGTAAGTTATTTAGGACATGTTTTTCAAAAATTTTAGCCGGCAGATGCCCTTGCTGTGCAATCCCCTATACCAAATTACAGTTTTATATCTTAATTTAGTGTTTATTTATGGCATTTTATAAGTTTTTGATAAATAGCGCTGGCAGTTGTCCGATTTCGCCCCTCTGCGAACTCGTTTTCATTTTTTTTCTAAGGAACACATGTACCAAATTTCATTACTCTATATGAATTTTCACTCAAATTACAGCTTGCACAGACAGACATCCGGATTCAACTCCTCTCGTCATCATTTTTATATACAATGTAACCGTATATCTATCTCGATTAGTTTTACGGGATACAAACAACCGTTAGGTGAACAAACCTATTATGCTCTGTAGCAACATGTTGCAAGAGTAGAAAAAGAATAAATAAACTTATAAAAAAATGTTTTGGTTAGTTTTAATATGAATTTACATCAAAACGATTGAACAACTATGTTTTTAAACAAAAAATAAATTTCTATTTCACTAATTTTTTTTCAGCAGATACTATACACATCTGCCTAATGGGTATTTCGATACCCAACTGAGTATATTCAGCTCAGGGAGAAAAACCTTTTTTTTTTTAGAAAAACCGGTTATGATATGATTTCCCGGTATTTCTTATTTCTAGTTTGCTAGAAAAATGTCTCAACTTTGACCTTGAAAGAGAGGACCTATTAAATTGTTTCAAATTACCTATCTGATTTGGAAAAAAAATCTTCTACAAGGAATAAGGAAATTCAGTTCTTCTTAGCCCGTTTAAATTCTATATATTCTTACCCGCTGTGCTTTTCGTTTATCAGCTCTCTGGTTCTGATGATATATTCGGCTAAAGTTTGATACAATAACTGGTACAGGTAAAGCGATCACAAGTACTCCACTGAGAGAACAAACGCCACCAACAATTTTTCCAGCTATAGTTTCAGGCACCATGTCACCATAACTGCAAGTATATAAAATATTATGATTTATTTTAAACTCTTTCATTTTGTAAAGTGATACTACAAATAATTTATGAGAGCTTAAAATGTACTTTCACGATAGTTATTCAAGAAGGAGTGACTATAGCTTTCTCGAGTTGTGAAGTGATTTGAAAATCTTTAGTACTTCTAGTCAAGAAAGACACAATGATCTCAGGTGTAAGTATTTTAACTGAGTCAAAAGGTTGTGTTCCCTGATGAAGATTAGTAAAACTTGATTTGAATTTCTTTAGCTCTCATAATTTATGTGTATAACATTTGTTAAGAATTCCCTATTATTATTAACCAATTATTTTAGATAAACACCATAAGTCTACTATCAAAATGTTCATTTCAACTAAAATATATGCATAAGCACGAAACAACATTTAAATAATATGTAATTTAAATAAAATTGCACTTTACAAGGATCAAAGCCGGGGAAACACCTTCAGGTGTTGGCAAAACTTTATATTAAAAAAAGTTGCGAAAGAATTCAACATTCAATATTCGACGAAATCGTGAATGAATAACAATTAAATTTGGTATTTTATTAAGTTATATTTTATGCCATAATTATAATATTATGTAGTTAGTTTTAACCCTATATTTATTTATAACTATATTTTACTTCCTGTCAGCGAAAATTATATTAAAATCTTTCTAAAATCTGACATAAACATAAGAGACTAAATTTAAAACACTGAGTTGATGTGCAAAAAGTCAACCAGAAGATCGGATTTGATAATATAATATTAGGAAGATGAGATTAAGGCCAAGATCTAGACCAACTCCATTCATGTTCCACGCTAAGCCGTTAATATAATACGGTTTATCAGAATAACGGAAATTATTATATGTACTAGTATAACATACTTTCACATATTTCCGGCATTAAACTAACGTATATCCAATAATTTATGGTCAGGTAGTTTTGCTAAGATATCTTACATATTGAACTATATTAACCGGAAGTTTGAAAATCTTTTATTTGGTATATTGGAGATGGATGCAATATTGACCTGATCTTATCTATTTTTGGCATTACTACATATTATTAATATAAACAGATGCCCCCTGGGTTTCATTAAGGCACATCACATACCATCAACAATGTATAAAAAGTAAAGTCAACCAGATGTTTGAAAATTCTAAATATCAGTTATATTAAAATGTGTTCACTCAATTTGATTAAGATAACTCACATATTGGGTATAAAGTCAGTCGGAAGTTCGAAAATCTTTCTATTAGGTATATGGGGGCTAAGGGAAATTGTAACCCGATTCAATCCATTTTTGACACAGGGATATAACTAAAAAAAAGACATTTTCCTGAATTTCAAAAATATATCTCACAGATTGACCGATATTTTCGGCAAAAAGTCAGCAATACGCACTGGGGTCCACATGTTCCGTATGTGGGTGCTTCAACAGATATGATCCGATTTTGACAATTTTTAGACTCAATTGGGCCCCTCAATGTAATATAAGACCGTCAGGATAATATTATGTACCGAACTGGGTTGGAATTGGTCGAGTAAGTCCGGAGATATGTGATTTCACCTAAATGTGAGCGGTGCCACTCCGTGGAACCCGTTTCGATGCAAAGGAAATCGAAGTAGCATATGTGTATCGCTTCATTTGGAGCATATTTTATAGGCGACAAAATAAATATTATTGAAGATTAAAAATGTTTAGTCTTATTTACAGTTTTCGAAAACTTTCTGGTCTTAATGTTCAATATAATGTCGGTGAAAGCATTTTGTGGGTTGATCATTGTGTAGAAATCTGTCGGTATTTAATTAAACATTGAAATGTCTCTCTGCAATCACTTGAAAAGGGTAACAGAGTGCCTAAAAATAGTTTTCCGTTGTTTTTATATCTTTCAATATCCTATTCAATGTCTCAAGCGAATGTTTATGTGCCATAGTTCACTCAACCCTAAATGATAATTTTACACTGTTTCAGCACTGTGGTCATGGACGATTGTGTTTTTATGATGCACATTGCATGTGGATTATGTTGCAGTTTTAATCGAAGCTTAAATGACGAATGCACTGTTCTGCTTTCATAATATAAAGTTATTGCAGCAGTCTCAACAAAAAGTAGTGAAATAAGGAATATTTGGCCAGTTCCACCTGGTGCATTCAAAAAAAATTAATCTCTCTTTCCGTGCCAAAACTGCCAGCACAATGCGGTCGATTTGACCATCACTTAGTAGTGGAACATTGCGAGAAACAGCAAGCATACTGTCCCAATGATTGTCATATTCTAGCAAGCTTAGTGCAAGGTATACATCCTTATACATTAGATATTGTTGTCTATTTAATTAATGCTTCAAACAGTCACCGAGATTCCTCCCTTCCGTACTTACCGCCCATATCAAACCAAATTTAACAAAAGTTATGCCCGTAGTTGCAACACTGAAATCAGTTGTTCTCTATTGTTTTCATTTCACCAATGTTGCCATTTTAATGTATTCGACTGTGATTTTAAGAATATTTCAAACATATTCAAATTTATTTTTTAATCACTACAAACAATCGAGACTGACAAGAATGCGTTGCAAGAGATTGCTCTCTCACTCTCAGCTCACTCGTTTCTACGGGAAAAACCCAATTTTCGCGGATCTCCTACCGTACGGTATGTTCATTTATATTGCGCTCTCATAAGATAGGTCGTATCAGCTAATTCGGTCCACGGTTTTGTGGCAGTGACTGTTTGAACTATTACGCATATCTTAAAATGGCAATAGTCTGGTGACATTAATCAACAACAGTCGCAGATAAAAGCACTCATTCTGCCTTGGATTAACTGTATATACACGACCCAAATTGGTTTGATTAAAATAAACCGGGGCATGCCTAAAATAGCTTAATACTTCTGAATGGAGCAGTGTTTGTGCAAAGGCACTAAATATGTTCGCACGATTACGCAATTCAAAAAATTCGGTGAGCATATGTTTTTATGAAACTATAGCACGATCAAACGCTGCTTCGTTCGTGAAAAATGCGTGTTTGAATGGGCCGTTTTCAAGATGCATAAAGAAATAATGTTAAATTTACTATAATAATAAAATTAACTTGACTTAATGAGAATAAAGTAATCTGACTTCTTTTCATTCCTACTCCGTGATGTCTGCTGATTGAGAAGTGACAACGGTAGACACCTACCGAGGATAACTGATTGGTTGATAAAACAATACATGAGGATTATAGTATACTACAAATATTATTGTAGATAGGATATATTAATACCTTCTGCTCAAATATAAACGAGACTGGCTCAAACAACAAAAACCGTTAATTATTCTTGAATATTTATTTTATCCCCTTCAAAATAGTCACCATTAGAGGCGATACACATATGCCACCTTTTTTTCCAATCTTCCTAACACTTCTGGTAGGCCGCTTTAGGTATGGCTTTCAGTTCCTTCTTCGAATTCTCTTTTATGACTTCAATCGACTGAAAATGCTTTCCACGAAGCGGCTATTTGAGTTTAGGGAAAAGAAAAAAGTCACACGGTGCCATGTCGGGTGAATACGGTGCTTGCGGAACAATATTTACGTTGTTTTTGGTCAAATAATCGCGTACAAGACGAGACGTATGAGCTGGATTTTGGAACAAGTCGAGCAGACACACGTCTCATGCGCAAAACATCGTGAATAATGCTATGAGCGGATCCATTGGATATGTTGAGCTCACTAGCTATCTCTCTTTCAGTCACACGACGATTTTCCAACACAATTTTCTTTACTTTTTCGACGTTTTCTTCGTTTATTGACGTTGCTGGACGACGATCATGGGGCAAGTTCTCCAGCGATGTACGGCCGTCCTTGAACGACTTATACCAATAAAAAATACGTGCACGTGATAGGCAAGACTCCCCATATGCCTTCTGCAACATTTTCATTGCGTCCGTCGCACTTATTCCTATGGAATAACAAAATTTCAAACAAACACTTTTTGCTCAACGTTAATTTCCACAGTAAAATTCGAAAAACACACTCGAGGTTGACTTGTTTATAGTGCCTTACAAAAAAAACTATGTGACAGATCGCGCTCAAATTTGACATGTAAACATATAACAGTCCTGCCAACCTAAGCAAAAAAAAGTATGGCCATATGTCATGTCCTTGTCGAGTTATGGATAAAGTCTCGTTTTGCGTTGAGCAGAAGGTATAATAATAACGATTAAAAACCGAAGTTTGATCGTATAAGTGTAAAAATTTAGAAGTGTATGTATTTTTCAATACTGAATCGTGAAAAAAAACAACGTGTTTTTGTCCAAACAAACAAAAATAAGTAATATTTGGGGTGGACCACCCTTAACATTTGAGGGTATGAAAAATAGATGTTGGCCGATCCTCAGACCTACCCGATAAGCACACCACATTTCATCAAAATCGGTCCAGCCGTTTCAGAGGAGTTTGGAACAAATACCGTGACACGGAAGTTTTATATGTTAAACTAACTGACCCGGCAGACGTTGTTTTGCCATATATGAACGTTATTATTAGGAAATATTCTAAAAAATAACTAACACTATAAGCTTGTGGGCGTTTGATAGCTAAATATATACGCATCGAAAATAGTTCATATTTCTACTACTAATTATTTAAATTATAAATAAACGAGAACAAACTGGATTGTTTGCTCACGCGAGAACATCCCACATAAAGTTGTCCGTTGAAAGAACATGGTGTACCCAAATCTAATCCACAAATAAACAACGTTTGGCGTTGTGAGCTGTTGATCGCTATTGCGAAAGTCAATCTAATAGAAAATTGAGAGCTTTTAAATTCAATTGGCACATATGTATGAATCATAGGAATTCGAGGCAGTAATACATTTTCGCCTCGAAACTTACCATTAAAAATGGAGGCTTCGTTAATAATTTTATTTAATTTTTTAATAACTAATCTTGTGCCATTGCAAAATCGTGGTAGGTTCAAATTATGAAGTCAAATAACCGGATAACCAACGTTCAGTTCGCGGCTTTCTGCAAACAGCATCGATAGATTTGTATAACGCCAAGTCTCCTGGCAACTACTGTTTGAACAACATCTTTGAATTTAATTTATTGACGTCCAAATTTTTTGCTACCAAAATAAATCTTTCTGCCAGCCAATCTAATATTTAATGTGTACAACAGGAACGCCAGTTTTCCATTGCCAATATCTAACAGATGTTTTGAGATACTTTCGGCAGATGGATCTTGAAGCTTATAAACGCCCGTATGGCCATGAACGATTGTGTTTTTATGTTGCAGACAGGATTATTTTGAATGTTTAATGGCTTAAATACTAAATGAGCTGTCTGCCTCCATCTAATAAAGTTTCTGCGATACCAGATGATGCAACGGCCATTGCGATGCCATTTCTTGATCGTATCTCAGCATTTGCTATAATATAGCAAATAGTAGAGAGTTTGTGTTTCTGTTCTGAATAATGCTACTTCAGAAAGCATACTGTCCCACTGATTGTCATCTTCTAGCAAGTTTAGTGCAAGGCATGCATCTTTATACGTTAGACTGTACGTATATCTTGAAATGTTAATGGTCTCGAATGCCTGCTACTTTTGAATAGCAGTGTTTGTACAAAGGCACCAAAAACATTCGCACGATTACACAATTCAACAAATTCGATGAGCGTAGTATTTGATGTATTTTTAACACTATCAAGCGCTGTTTCGTTCGTAAACGGCTTTGGCCGTTTTCGAGACGATGAACTTGAATTGATGAGAATAAAATAAGCCGACTTATTTTTATTCCTCTTCCGTGATGTTTTCGGGTTGAGAAGTGCCAACGGGAGACAACTGGCGGGAATAACTGATTCGTTGATAGAACTATACTTTATGAAAATTATAGTATACTACAATTATTATATTCGCATTGCGATTAAAAATCAGATTTTGATCGCATAAGTGTGAACATTTGGAATTGTATGTATTTTTCAATACTGAATCGTGAAAAAATCTAAACAAAAAATTTTGTTAAAAAAAAAGAAAAAAGTAATATTTGGGGTCAAACCACCCTTAACATTTATGGGTACGAAAAATAGATGCCGATTTTCAGACCTACCCAGATAAGCACACCAAATTTCATCAAAATCGGTCCAGCCGTTGCGGAGGAGTTTGGTAGCAAACACCGTGACACGAGAATTTTATATTGTATATTAGATGTAAAATATCTAACTCGATTATTTTTAGGTGATACAATCAACCGTTAGCTGAACAAAACTTTTATACTCTGTAGCAACATGTTGCCTGTTGTATAAAAATGTCCTATTACTTTGTTTATTTATTATGAAACGAATCGAAATATTAAGAGTATATCGTGATGCCAAAACTGGATACCATCGGTTCAATAATTTTCCTATACCTAATGCAAAGATTTTCGAACTTCCGGTTGACTTTATACCGCATATACCGGTCAATATGTGAGCTATCTTAATAACTTCACGGAATGTCTCTCTTTAATAACAGTGTGTTTTTATGCCTAAAATATATAAAATCGGGCCAATTATAACTTTAGCCCCCATATGCCAAATGTTCGAAATCTAGTTGAATTTAATGTGAACTGGATACAATCGGTTGAATACTTTCTCTAGCCCCCATATACCAATTGATCGGTCAATATGTAAGATAACTTAAAAAAATTAAGTGAATGTATGTATAACACTGGATATACTATAGTTTGATGCCGAAAATGTGAAATCGGTCCACGAATTACCCTTACTCTAATTGTCCAAACCTCATATGCAGCTTCTTGGTGAGAAAAAGAAGTGTGCTAAATTTGAGATCGATATCTAACAATTTAAAAGATCAGTTCGCGGGTATATAGACAGAAGGTCTCCTACGTTTGCTTCTGGGTGTTACAAACTTCGTGGCAAACTAATAATACGCTGTTCAGGGTATAAAAACTTGGAGTATTCAGATCTACTAACACAATTAAATAGAGATACATACCACAGTTACAATAGAAAGATAGTTTAAATAGCTTTTTTTCATATGAACATTTTTTCCTAACTGAGCTCAAATAATGTGAGATAGAAATATGTATATGTATTAGATGCAAAGAAACTGGCAATAGCAAATGCAAACTTTTAGATGTCTCAAATACTATCAAGATTAATGCTCACTTACCCCAGTGTTGTCATTGTTACTATTGTGTACCAGAAAGCAGCCGGAATAGATGTAAAATTCGTTCCGTTGACGTTCTTTTCAGCATAAAACATAACAGTTGCAAATATGATAATAGCCATTGCAAGTGAGAATACCAGAAATCCCAATTCTGAAGCACATGACTTTAATGTGTAGCCAAGTATCCGTAGGCCTTGTGAATGGCGTGAGAATTTGAAAATTCGAAAAACCCGGAAGACACGTAACGTCACAAAGGCACCACTCACATCATCGTTATCAGTAATGCCCAATCCAATATAATATGGCAGTATAGCAACAACATCAATAATACTCATTACGCTGCGCACAAATTTGCAGCGGTCGGGTGCAGCAAATAGACGTAACAAATATTCGGCGGTAAATATCATAACGCAGGCGGTGTCGAGGCAGAAAAATACGATTTTATAACGTTCACCACACGGCAGAGTACCGGCGCGCCCGGGTCTATGGCCACATGGAACTGTCTCTACAACATTGGCCATTACAGAGACAGCGATAAAAAATCCAGTTACATAGTAAAACACCAACGCCGCTGTAGAAGTATGCGGATTTTCGAATGCGCGCCACATTTTTTGTCGTATGTTCGTTAACTGTTGCAAATTCTGATCACCGTTCTCTGATAATTTGTCATCCATCAAACGTTCGGCGTTCTCACGTTTTCGATCACGGTAATCTTCATAACAACAATCCCCAATTACATCGGGCATAATACCAAAGAATGCCAATTCTTCATCGTAACTCGTGAGGCATTCATGTTTGGGATAATGAAGTTTTCCTGTGCGATAATAGTTAAGTATATGACGAAAAATATCTGGATCTCTGTCAAAGAAATATTCTTTACAATCCTCGTCGTAAAAGAACTCACGTTCATTGGATCCCAGTAACGTATCTGGATATTTTTCAAGCGTATTTCGCCACGTTTCAAAACGACGTCCAGAAACATTAATCAAAAGCTTTTCATCGTCAGTTTTACGACGGTCTTTTGGTATGGGTGGAGGCGGTAATGGGTGTGTAGCAATTGGAACCCAACCGATGGCCGCCGCCCGTGCAAAAGGCAGCCAAGCGGCGACCGAGGCCATACTATGTGGTGGAATGTTTTACACTGAAGCTGTTTTGATTATAGTAATATATAATTAAAGAAATTTAAATGCTATGCACTTTTATCTGAAAATTATTGGCTATAAACAGTCTCGCGATACAAAACTTGTTTATTGTCTTTTGTAGGAGTTATGCAATTAATGGTTACTCATAATTACGCCATATGAATGTTTTTAGTATTTTAATCATACATTTTCATGATGTCTTGCAACTAAATAGAAATTAAAATCTATTAAAATAAGGTAATTTTTTTAATATAATGTTTTTCTATGAACTTTAATTTTATAAATTGATATGAAATAACAGAAGTACTCTGTCGCTGTAAGTAGTCTCTGTGGATTTCAGCAGAAAAAGTATGTAAGTGAAAGTAATTATTCCATAACGGCCCTTTCCATTATTTATTTTCCTCACATAGCACACTAAGCCGCGTTGTTTCCTTTTTGCCTTTTTTTCTTATTGAAAAACTTAGCAGGTTACATGGGGATTTTTAAAAAACTCCAAAGTTGTTTCACTTTATAAAAAAAATCTTAATACAAATTTTGCCAGCGTATTAATAACTACGTGGTTGGTTACATTGGAACGCGTAATCTGAGTTTATGATTGTAAACCTGAAAAAAAATAAATATTTATTTCATTCATTGTACTATTAAGGATTATAAATCATATTTATACGAATTTTGTAATTCAATTAGTTTGGGACTAATAATTAAATTTTCATTTTTTAATTCTGATGTTGGCATTAAAAATTGAAAATTCAATTTTTTAATTTAATAGTAAAAAATAGAAAATTCTATTTTTTGATTTAATAGTAAAAAATTTTAAATTTAATTTTTAATCCCAAAATCAGAATTATAAATAGATAAAATATAAATCGTTTGAAGGCATAAGTTTACCGACCAGTGCTCTAGCGTATTAATGAGGATGCCTCTGTGCGAGGTTTAGTTCCAAATGGTAGAACACAAAGTACGCAAATGCGAAAAAATGTTAATTCTAAAACAAATTACTTTTTTAATCCTTAATTAAGGAAAAAATTTAATTCAAATGTTAATTCAGTTATTTTATTAATGCATTATTTGCAACACTGTTCATACGCTGATCAACCTTCACAATTTTTGTGGTTGTTATTAAACACTCTAGTTCTGTGTATGCTTTGAAGTTATCTTAGATTTGTTCATTAAGATTGGTATACCTGAAAAAAAAACAGTAAATATAAGTTTAGTTCAATAGACTATTCACATTTAGATAACATATGAATACAGGAAACAACATGCACAATGGGATTACATTCAAATAAACACTACAGTTCCGTCTATGCTGTAAAGTTATCTAAAATTATTAATTCTAGATGTAAGGCGATATCATTATTGAAGGCTATACAAACAAATCTATCTTCAATTGGCCATAGATATTGTGATTTTTCAGTTGCTTCATAATATCCAATTTGCGTTATTACAGCTGACGAAATATCAACTAAAAACCCTACTTCTCTGCGTAGATTAACTGTAGTTGTATACATATAGAGAATTATTTTGTATCTTTAATATACAGCCATGTATACAATTATTTTTTATGACCTTCAGATTGAAAAATCATTATCTTATTATGGTTGATAAGAAACTTCTACACATTGATTAATATTTGCGACATGTTGATTTTAACGCACACGTCCATAATAATATTTTATATAAACACAAAAGAACTAAAGTCCTTTTATTAAAATTATTCCCAGTCTGAACTTAGTTAATAACATTTCAAATAATGTTATGACTCTTGAAACGTGTTTTCACAGTAATTACCTTTCACTCTAGGTGCTGCAAACTCTTCTACTCGGACACATTTTATAAGCAATAGTTTCTGTTACAAGAAATGTTATTACTTTTCGTTTCTTTTAATTTACATGTATACTACGTAGCACCATTACTGCTGCAGGTATGTATTAAATGACTGCTCCATTTATTGTTAAAAAGCACGGTTTCCCCATTATATTCATTCCATTATATACACATATATACCATTATAAGTGTACATGCGCATCACAGTAAAAAACTTATATAAATATAAAGTGCAACACAAACCTAATTTTGTATTCCAATATATGTAGATATGCAATTTACTTTAGCCATAGGGCCTGTTAAATTACTGTCCGCTGTTTTCAAACAAATACTCATTTCATTTTTACATATTTATTAAAAAGGAGTTTTTTAGTGGAATTGACATATTTTATAAAAAAATACTATTCAATATAGTTAAAATATTATTTACGATAAAATGCGAAAACGTGATTGACGGTTTAAGAAATAAAGGGATTGTACTTAATGTTTTATTTTGAAAATTTTTGATACAAATATTTGTTAATGGAAAAATAATGAATTTTCCATTTGGCATTTTACTGTGCTATGCTTATGTTTAGAAAAATATCTTTTTATTTATGAATTGTTTTATAATATTATCAATATAATTCAGATATAAACTTTCCTATCTTTTGAATTGTATCTAACTGTGTGCTAAATTTTACTAAATCGGTTCATTGAACCGATTTCGCTTATATGCAGTTCAATTATGAATTAAAATGTCCATTTTCATTTGACATTGCTAGTTTTTGCAAAAAAAAACAATGTTTGTAAAAAATACAAACAATTTTCTTAAACAAATTCAATTAGAGTCAACATCTCAATCGCTTTAAAATATAATAGCGTATTATTTCTTATTTAATGAAGAACCATACGCAAAAAAAAAATACGAAAACTTTCACTTGATCAAAACTTATCCGTATTTTTCTTTTGTCGCGCAGCAATAAATTGTTCACTTCTTCAAATAAATACTTACCTGTAGAAAAATAAAAAATGTTAAAGCAATTTTTTAAAGCGATTGAGATATTTACTCTAATTGTATTTGTTTAAAAAAATTTTTTGTATTTTTACAAACTTTGTTTTTTGCAAAAATTAGTAATATCAAATAAAGGAGGACAGTTTCACTCACAAAAAAATAAATATTTTCCAAAATCATGCAAAAAAATATAAATGGCAATAACTTTCGAACTCTTTCGAATTTCGAAAAACTGTCGAAAGCTTATTTTTTATTAATCGTTGAGAACTAAAAAAGGTTGTTGTCGAAGAAAAGATACTTGGGAGATTTCGTCCGATATAGATAACATGTTTATATAAGAATATAGGAATGATTGAATTTAAAATTTTTCTATTTTCTTTATAATCAATTGACGAAAATATTTAATAATTTGCACAGCAAATCTTGGTTGGAGATTTATTCTCTCGAAAAAAACAAAAAAAGCGACAAGAAAAAACGTTAATTTCGGTTGCACCGATGCAAGAATACCTTTCACAAATAAAAAAGTTTCAATGCAAAACTTCGTCTTGATCATTTAGTTTATATGGCAGCTATATGCTACAATATAATAGACCGATCTGAAAAATTTTTTCAGATCAATGATCTACGCCAAATTTCGTGAAGATATTTTGTCAAATAAAAGTTTTCCAAACAAGAACTTAATTTTGATCGTTCGGTTTGTATGATAGCTCCATATACTTGTATGTCGATAACGGCAGTTCCGACAAATGAACACCTTCTTAGAGAATTAGCTCTGTATATACGCGAGCTAATTCTCTAAGGTGTTCATTCGTCGGAATTGCCGTTATCAGACGGATAGACATGGCTAAATCGATTAGCTCGTCACGCTGATCATTTATATACATTATAGGGTCTCCGATGTCCTTCTTGGCGTTACAAACTTTTGTAAAAAAAAAACAATTATTTTTCTCCTGAAATCTGCAATTGAAATAAAACGTATTGTGGGGACCTACGTTACCACATATCTTTAATGTATTAATTTATGTTACAAAAGTTTCTTATAATTAAAACTGAAAGTAAAAACTTAACTTAAATTTTTAAAGTTTGTATGACACTACGAAAAACTACGGCTCCATGACGGCTGTATCGTGTATGACTGTTTAACTACGAGTGAGTTGTAGAAGAAATAGAAGTTCTTAAAAAAATCCTGCCCTTCCGACTGAAAAGACATCTGGGCTGGTATACACGCTTCCTGATCTCCCAACTATTCTTCCTGTGTTGATATATGCATCCCGTGCTCCAACAACTCTGCTGACAGTTCTCCCCTCCCCAATTGTTTCAAACCGTGCTGAAAACCGCGTTTCTAACTGCCAATACAATCGGGATTGTTGTGCCAACATTTTGTGATAACACATCTCCTTTTTGTAAGGTCATGTGCGATATGAGTGTATCCTGCTCTTTAAACTGTGTCGATATACGTGCCTCTTGCTCTTTCCACTGTATCAGTATTTGCGTTGACATCGGCGACAACACGGCCAAAATCGCATTCACTCTAATGAACATTAAGTCTCTTTCTTTTCTTTTATCCTCGTTATCCCTTTTTCTATGTCCAATTGAAAGAAATATTTCTCAACATTAATGTTTTCTGATTTCATGGCTTCTCGTAACTGTATTTCGGACTTTACTCCATTCGTTGCCAAACCACGTTGCTTCAGAGTCATTTGTAGTTGTGGAATCTTGACATCGTTAAACTTTGCCATTTTCAAACAATTATCCCTTTGAAAATTCTTTTAACAATTCCACTTCTGACACCAGTCGTAACGGATTTCTCGATAAATCGTCTACCTTGAAACTCTCTCTAGTGTTCGATTACTGGATTGTTAAATAAAAGTCCCAATTTAATGACTAACACTTATATTTATTTCTAATTCCAACAACTTACCGCTTTATTACTTATTATTCGAGTTTACAACTTCTTTCTTATATCTCATTTGCGCGCTACACAGCAACACTCTAACTAGAGCTGTTTCCGCTGCACAATCCGGCAGCCCTTATATAGTAAATCGTTAACAAACCCTACAAGATGGATGTAACTCATATCATAAATCCAACCACATTTTTCCATTTGTTTCTTAACACATGTACATTTACTGTCATTTCTAATTGAATAAGGAATCGTAAATTTAGAAAGACTAAAAACTATCGATACTCAAGCATATCGAAATAATAACATGTTAAAAGAGGAAACGTGATTAAACAAATTTTCAAGAAGAATACTTTGAACACAAAAACGACGGCACGACACGACAGCACGACAACGAAATTTTCTGGTGGCAAATGTCGTCTTGAAGCTAGCTGAATATTTTGAAGACGACAGCGACATATCAAACAGCTGATGTATGTACACAATTTCGTACTAAAACCTTTCACTTCAATGAAACTTAAATATGTTGAAAGTGAAATTTTTTTTGCAAAAACAAGGAAATAGGTTGATTAATTTGTTTTAAATTATCAATTCCTATTACAAATGATATATCAGAGCTATTTTATGCTTCTGTTGATAAAAATAACATTAGACTAGGTAGAGCTTTGAATAATTTCACATATTAGTGGCAACACTACAGCTGCCCATTGTCGTCGGCAAAATTAAAACTGGTTTTAATTTAGCGATAGCGACAACTGCAAGCCTGTTGCCGTAAAGTTATGCTGCTGGCTAAATAACTGTGCCCATAAGAACGGGTGTATTTTGATTTTTGACAGGTGCTTGTCGTCGTCTATGGTTTCAGCACTGAAGAGTTAATAATAGAAGCCAGCAAAAGCGAAGTTTTGTGCATAATTTTGGCGCGAATAATTCATTACATTTCAATAATTCACATTTATAGATAAAAACCAAAGTGAAACTTTCAAAAAAAGTTTTTCTTGCAAGAACTTGATTTTGATCGGTCAGTTTCTATGGCAACTATAGCTGTAGTACGCACTAGTTCACGTATAGATTCAGCTCGTCACGCTGATCATTTATATATGTATACACTTTATACGGTTTCCGACATTTCCTTTTAAGTGTTACAAAGTTCGTAGGAAACTTAATATACCCTATTCATTGTATAAGAAATTGAATTATGAATGCGATGGGCAGTAATGCCTAAAAAATTATTATTGTGCATCTATACAAGTGCTCATATATGTGTATTTGAATGTCTTATCAATAGCATTTTGTTTTAATTTCTCTATATATCTATCTATCTTTCTTTCTTTGAATAGCCTTAACAACCCTGTTGGTATTTCTGAATATGAAATTGTGCATATTGCACATGTGAAAGATTGTTGCTATTGGCAAACTAACCATCAACGTTACACTGTAATAGTGGCCAGTCCTAAAAAAGAGTCTAAATTAAAAGCAATGAAGACTTGTATTGCCTACCAGCTGACATCGAGCTTTAACAATATTTCTGTAAGTTTTATCCACAGCTGTACTGGTTTTCTTATAACTTTGATTGGTTACACGAACGTTTGGTGGAGAAATTTTGCCCACCATTGCCAGATATGCAAATTTCTGGACTTATGAAGAACAATTTGTGGAGCACCGACGACAAGATGTGGAAATCAGGCAAAAGGAAAGCCGTGACACATATGTTAGAATCTCTTATTGTTGCGCCATATTACCGCCTGAAAAAACATTGTTGTCATCGCTTATACCTATATGCTCAAATGGAAAGTTGTTCACAGCTCACGCATGCAATGGATATTTCAGTATTGTGAAACTTTATTCAATGTAAAAAATAACTCCAATATATTGATGATGGCATTTCGGATCTGGCAAAGGCCCTAAATATAGAGCGTCATGCACCCTCGAAAACAACACCGCTATCGGAAAGTGTTAGGCGCGTCGGTGGAATTTTCATTGGTATTGGACAACTAAATTAGATTTCATACCATTTCCAGACCGTTTGCATATCTACAGGTAATACGACACGAAAGTTAATTTCTGTTTAGTTACATTACATATGCAAGCTATTCGTAGATTTTGTGCATTATCATTAAGTTTAAATTTTCGGATTTTTGGTGCCAAGTCAACTTTTGTTTCACTTCGTTTAATGTTATTTTATTTCCTCCCTTTATTTATCTCATCTACATCTTTATTCACAGCTGTGTTGCGTGTAGTTTTTTATTTGTTCCAGTGCATCTAAATCTACTTGCTTTATTGTTTTTTCAAACTGTCTTGGTTTTGAACATTGATAAAAAAAATTGCTATTATTTTTGCGTTTGTTCTTAAAATACGTTATTAATATTTTATTAACACACTAATTTATTATATATCTATTAGATTTTGTTTTACTTACTCTTTTGTTTGATCTTCTTTTAATCTTCTTTGTTGTTTATAATGTCGTGTAACTTCCCCAACTGTTACATTAAAGGCGAGTCAGATCGCTACGTCTCATGCTGGCTTTTTGATGGGCTTGCCCATATTAAATGTGCTGCACTAACAGGTAGAATCTTAGATTCTATTCTGGACTGTAAGGGATTGTGTTGGTCCTGTTTAAATTGTAGATCTATTGAAATCGATATATTTAAAGTTTATAGGCAGACACGCAATAGCTTTAACGAAATCGCTCGATATCTTGAAACCCTCACCGAAAAATTTAGGCACAACGAAAAATCGTTCAAATCTTTTATGTGTCTGAATGATTCTCACGAATCCTCCAAACCTGCTCCTACGAGTAAACGTCCTTCCAATGAAGTAACACTTAGTTCTTCTGCACAGGAGACTAGGCTCCTCCAAATGACCTTATATATCTCTCTTCTCCTTCCCTTCAAGCTGATAAGCCGTCAACTTCCATAGAGCTCAATTCCCCAAAAGCTCTATATAATAGTAGTAAGTGTCTCACAATTTTAGAGGCTCCCCCTATTAACTTAGTAGCATCTGTTAAAAATTTGGCGGTTATTCTATATATCTTTCTATATTTATTTCTAGACTTGTCAAGGACACCTCGCTGAAGGACTATAAGTCCTACATTTCGTCGCGTTTAAAAATTGATGATATCAATATCCATAAATTTAACTTCAGTTATGATAAAAGTATATCATCGTTTAAAATAGACGTTTCTTTTGAAACCTTCAAAAAGATCTTAGATAGCTTATTCTGTCCCTCGGGGCTTATGTGCGCGAATTTTTTTTTTATTATCAAAATGATAGAGGTCTTAATACAAAATTAACCGACTTGTATTGAAACAGGTCCAATTTTAATTTCCAAATAATTACAAATATTTAGATGTGATTGACTGAACAGAATCGGAGGAGGTGTTCTATTTGACGTGCATTCCTCTATCCCATCTGAAGACGTTCTCGTTCCAGGAATCGACTCATTTGAACTTAAATATATTATAGCCTACGTTAATAGTTGCTTTATTCATCCAACCCTACCTTATATACCACCCCATTCGGACTTGTCTGTATACATGCAGCATGCTTCTTTATAAATAGTTCTACCTCGAAGGCAATTAATGCAGATTCAATAATCGTTTTAGGAGATTTCAATTTACCGTGTGCTTCGTGGAAAGCTTTCGATGACTATATCGTACCGATTCGCAATCGGTCGTGTTTTAGTGAGTTTTTTTTTTTTAATGTCCGAGTTGGGTCTGAACCAAATTAATTAGATTCCGAATAAATTTGGTAAATGTTTAGATTTAGTATACATTGATACCTTTTCAAAGTGTTCCGTTATTCAGAGTAATCCTCTTGTTCTACCTGAGGACTCGTAGCATCTTGCTTTGGAAATATCAGTCGAAATCATAGGTAATGTACGGGATAGTAATCATCAAACTTCTAGCTTCTGTACAAAAACTAATTTTAACAAGTAAGGAAGGGCTAAGTTCGGATGTAACCGAACATTTTATACACTCTCAAAGTCAAATGGTATACTCGTTCTAGATTTCTTTGTGGATCTTGCCGCCTTGTTCTATTGTATGTTGACCGATATTTTCGGTAAAAAGTCAACTATAGGCACTGGGGTCCACATATTTGGCTTGAACAGTTTTGGTTCAATTAAGATAATTTTTGGTCACAAGGTAGCATACCTTAAACGTATTATTCACGCAAAGTTTTACGCCGATATAATCATTGTTGCTTGACTTGCATACTGGAAAGTGAAAAAATCAGATGGAATTTAAAATGATGTTATATTGAAATATGAGAAGAATATTATTTACCGAATTTGGTTGAAATCGGTTAAGCAGATCCCAAGATATTGGTTTTCACCTAAAAGTGGGCGGTGCCACATCCACTATCTAATTTTGAACGTGATTCCTATAAAATCATCTTATACCATCCCAGAGATAAAATTTAATATCTCTGGCTTGTTTAGTGCTTGATTTATCGCGCTTTTAGTAGTTTTTAACAGTACCGTTTTATGGGGAGTGGGCGCGGTTGTCACTCGATTTTTTCACACTGTCGATAGAGGTGTTTAAAATATTTGTTCTCGGTGAATTTTGTTATTATAGCTTTAATGGTATAGGAAATATGCACATTAAACTTATTAGGAGGCGGGAGCACGCCCACTTTAAAAATTTAAACTGCAGATGCCCCTGTCTAATGTGATCCTGTATACCAAATAACAGTCATGTATCTTGTTGTGGAGCTAAGTTATGGCAATTTATTTGTTTTTGATTAATGGCGTTTTGTGGGCGTGGCAGTGGTCCGATTACGCCCATCTGCAATACCAATCGTCTTACTGTACCAAGAAATGTGTACCAAGTTTCATAAAGATATCTCAATTTTTACACAAGTTATAGCTTGCACAGACGGACGGACAGTCACCCGGATTTCAACTCGTCTTTTCATCCTGATCATTTATATATACATAACCTCGATTAGTTTTAGGTGATACAAACAACCCTTAGGTGAACGAAACTATTATACCCTGTAGCAACTAGTTGCGAGAGTATAAAAAGTTATATAGAGAACTTTCTACAATAACATGGCCTAATTATAAGGGTGATATTGAATTGAGTGTCTCACATTATAATTGTTAATAAAAGTATAAATATAAGTCCGTGGTTTTCGACAGAGTTATATAAATTGAAAAGAGGAAAACTCGAGCCTTTAAACATTTAAAAAAAAAACCGGTTCACTTGTCGACTATTCTAAATATTCTGTATTGCGTTAACAATATTTTGACCTAAACAAAAAATGTTATAATAATCACTTAAATAAACTAAAAAAGAATATTGTAATTAATCCAAAATCGTTTTATAATTTCGTCAACTCCAAACAAAGGATTTCCAAATTTCCGTCCGCGATCAAATATTTCAAGTGACAATGATATTATAATATATCCGATCTGTTTGCAGAGTTTTTCAAGTCCAACAACTGTAATAATTCTTCTAAAACCTTTTCCTATCAGCATGTGCTGTGT